GGGGTCCCTTTAATTAAATAACTTCCTTGTTTTAATCACCAGTAGTCATGGGGTAATTGTGGATAATCCAGAAAATATTTTCACAGTCCTTACTATAAGTATTCCCAGATTTGTAATTTTTTCTTTTATTAGCAGATGGCACTCTCAACTTAAATTTCAGTATTGCCATTTGGCAATCACCATTTTAGTTGTAAATCAATTATAAAAGGAGAATAAGTTTTATAAGTAAATGATTCCAGCATTTTAAAATGCCTTTCCAGTACCACATCTTCCCAATTTAAGAGTCTAATTTTCTGTACATTTCAAAATGTATTAGTTTTCTCTCTTGGGTCTTTTCCTTCCAGTCTGATATTTTCTCAGAATGCTTAGACACTGCTTTAACAAATAGTTCTGAGCAAATAGTTCCTAATTATTCATTGAGGTTATGTTTAAGGTTAGAAGAAATCCTCTCCCCCAATTCCAGTCATTGTTCACTTACTTCGGTCCAGCACCAATCTTAGTTATTCCTTGGTTGTTCCAGCTTTGTGGCAGCCATCTTTAGCCACATGTCTCTTCTCCTCACCATGGCTGAGGGGAAAGAAGGACCCCGGGTCAGACAGGAAACAGCTGTGATTTTCCGCAACCTTACAGTGTGCCCCTCTTTGCTTCACTGCCCCTACAGGGTGGCTTTGGCTCCTCTTGGAGCCTACAAACAGGGAGAACTCAGACAGGGAACACGGAGAACCATTCCCTGTGTCTGATATTGCCATGACATCAACCGGAAGTCTACCCTTTCCCTTCTGATCACCAGTTTCTTCCCCCATAGTTTGGGCCACAGGAATTATCATCTGCTTATGTAATACCTGACTCATACTTTATGGGCACAGCATGGGAGTGGAGGTCTTACAAGAAACTGCTAGCAAAAATGTATGTAAAAACTGCCCTGCCTGACCCACATTCAGTTGCCAGGAATCCACTGATTTTCCATGGTAATGAGGAAGACTGTGGGGACAGATCAAATTTATTCTGGCACGCATTGTGCTACTTCACAGACCGATGGCCTTAAAACTTTTTTCACCTTTCCCTCTGTTCTTTCCTTTTTGGGGGTGTGTGTTTAAGAGCCAAGGTGGCACAGTGGTTAAATGCAGCATTGCAGGCTACTTCAGCTGACTGCAGTTCTGCAGTTCGGCTGTTCAAATCTCACCGGCTCAGGGT